CTATCTAAAAGGGGCAGGGCGATGCGACAATATCTAAGATAGTATATATATATATATATTTCATTGGTATATATATTGAGATAATTTGTTTTGCAACAAAATCTGAAAATCTGAAACAAGTAGCTTGCGCGATCATTTAGAATGTTTTTAATATTGAATTTTATGTTAATCTATTTATTGCCCCCTTTTTTTTATATTAATCTTTTCAGTAATTATATAATTTTAGTTAATAAAAAATTTAAACGGAGGAGAATTTTTGGTCTTAAATGGGACAAGGCGAACGGAATACCTGCGGGTAAACATATTAAACGGGGCGGGGATTCCTTCCCTCCCCCTCCTTGCGATTTTGAGCGGAGACAGGGGTTAGATTTTTAAACAGTTGTGGGAACAGGGGAGGATACACTCGTCCAAACTTGTCCCGTTGCCATCCTTAGTGATGTGAAAATTTTTACCATTATCTCGTAATTAGATATTTATTACATATATTCTGAAATACAAAAAGGTTCATCTTCAGGTTACTAAAGTTCAAGGTGAAATATTTATTAGATATTGTAAATGAACATTTTTTTATTGTTAACATAATAAATGTAACTAATTTGTAAAAGATAAAGAATTGTTGCACCAAGAGTTGCATACTTGATGCTTCAGCATTGAAGCTAGCCTTTATCTGAGATAGTTTGCTTGTCTTTTCACCTCTCTCCTAAGTGGTGTAAGCTTGTGGTCTTCGTTATAAATTAATTTTATCTTATATTTAGAAGTATGGACTTCTTATATTTGAAATTAAAACAAATTAATTCAAAAGTTTAATTAAATCGTCATTCAATACTTCCAAACGCGTATGGCTTTTATTACATTTAGTTTAGACACTTACCATCGCAACCAAAAGTATTTGTAATTAATAGTTAAATGAAGAAAATGTTACACTTTCATTACAAGTGTTGCATGTCCTTTTTACTTTTTTTTACCTTACTGCACTTCATTGAATACCCCAACTTTAATACTACATTTTAAGAACGGAATAGAACTTTAAATTAGGACTCTAGTGAATGAACCATTGAATTGGACTCGAGTTTAATTATTGATTTTCATAAATTTACTGTACTATTTATTTGAACTATATTTTATCTCCTGAATATTTGAACTATATGTTTGAGAGAAAAAAAATCATTTTTTATATCTTCAAAATTTACACAAAGTAAAATTAGAACTTAATTCTTTTTAAAAAAATGATGATCTTTGTTTTTTACACTCATGGCAAGTTCACTTTGTTTCGATTTTTTTTTTTTTTTTTTCTTCTCTTTTTAATATGCTCACACAACAATGGAGTACATAGTTAACTCCTTTTATCTACAAAACTGCATTTTGATGGTTTCAAGTTAAAAAATTAGAGACCATTCTCGTATGATTATCAAAGTTACAGTTCATCTTTTGAGAAGCAATTCAATGACTCACAAAGGCCATCTTTTGAGAAGCAATTCAATGACTCACAAAGGCGCAACTATGGCTATCAATTACAAGCTCAATCAAGTTTTTGACAAATATTTTCCTGAGGCAATTTTAACTTATTAGTGTTTTTTTTTTTTTTTTTTTTTTTTTTTTTTTTTTTAATAATTCCAAAAAAATGGAATTATGATGTCTTATGTCAAAATAAGAGAGTCAAAAGTCAAATTTTTCAATATAATGGTATTTTATAAATGTATGTATTGATTACCAAATTACCCTTCATCGGTCTTCACCAACCATTTGGTGCACCATTGACTTGTGAAAACCCTTTCTTGCTTGAAATGCAGACATTGCTCACCTTTGCAACACATGAAAACTGCGGACACCCATCAAGGCTTTGTGACGGGTCAGACTGGTAGTAGACCCAGGGGTTTCTCTCCCATTTCATAAAGAAAAGTCTGGAATCTTGGGTTACGAATTGGTGTCCCTTTCTCTCAAGTACAGTCCCTCAAAATTCCTCCTATCCCTTTCTCTGGTGGTTGTGGGTGTGATAAATCAGAAGCTGCAATATATATTGTGAGAAAAGACTGTGATTCAATTGTGAATCACTTCTATTAAGGATATACAAACATATATGGCGGAGCCAGAAATGTTTTATTAGTGGGGCAAAAAAAAAATTTCAACAAATGTAATATGAGAAGAAAAAAATGGAAAGAATTACCATTGTTTTATTAATTTTTCTACCTAGAATCACAATTAATACCTTAAATATATACCATTAATAGAGATTTCAAAATAATTAGCTTTAATTTTCCTACTATAGTTACAATTAGTAACCTAAATTATCTACCATTTCGAAAAAAATTGGGGGATATGCAGATACAATTGGGTCTTTGAAGAAGGCAACATCAATAAAATTTTATTACTTATACAAAATATATACACATATGTATGCTCATATGTGTGCATATGTTTTATATATTTATGATCTTTAGCTTGGTGAACATTTAAAATTAGAGTTTTGTAATTTAAAAAGTGCATAGTAGGTCTGCCTTTTTTTTTTTTTTTTTTTAGTTTCTTCGTCTATATTTTGAGGGATAAAATTTGTGAAGGAAAGAATAATGACTCATCCATTATCTTTGCTCTACTTTCCTTAATTCCTATCTACCAAACTAAAGAAATTTATTTTTTCCTTCCTTCCAATTAAATGGAGAATTAGTTGTTAAAAGGCAAATAAGCAACCTAAACTATTTTGAGAAGAAAAGTGTACTCCGCATTTGATAATGAAAGTACTAGCAAGTAAAAATCAATTTTGTTTACATCTTTTTAAAATCCTATAAATAAACATAGGGCTTTGCTAATCACAGTTGGATTGTGACTTTACAGTCGCTTGTCCTAAGAGTATAGAAATCAATTCTCATTTATCATTTGTAATTTACAGTCGCTTGACCTATTAGTATAAAAATCAATTCTCATTTGTGATTTGTCTAGTAATCAGTTATCATTTGCGACTTGTTTAGATTTGGAAACTTACTACCATAGTAACTTCTTTTACTTTATCTTACTGGCAAGTTACGTGATTTACTGTCCACGTGTTTGTTTATCTAATCTCTTGGCTTAATAAATAAATTAATTAATTAAAGAAAGGAAGAAGCAGCGACTGTCCTATTAATATAGAAATCAATTCTCATTTGTGATTCGTCTAGTAATCAGTTATCATTTGTGACTTGTCTAGGTTTAGAAATTACTACATTAACTTCTTTTACTTTATATTACTGGCAAGTTACGTGGTTTACTGTCCACGCGTTTGTTTATCTAACCTCTTGGCTTAATAAATTAATTAATTAATTAAAGAAAAGAAGAAGCATAATAATGATGATAGTATACCCTTATTATTTACCTTGTACTATTATGTTCATTTTTTATATAATATTTTTCACTTTAAATAAATATAAAAAATTTCACATTCATGAAAAAAAAATAATAATAATAATTAGATTTGTTGTATTGGTGGTGTTATTATATTTATGTAAAGTTTGTAATTGGAATAAAAATTTTAGGATTGATAAAAATTGACGTGTAAATTTAAGTAGTATAGATTTTATTTAATTATAAAATATGACCCAAAAATCAAACAATATAATACAATCCATCAGTTGAGCAGGGAAAAAAAAAAAATTTAACAATTAAGCCAAGAGAACAGATAAACAAACAGGTGGCCAATAAACAACATGACTTGTCAGTAAAATAAACTAAAATAAGTTACTGTAGTAATAAGTTTCTACACCTAAATAAATCAGAAATAAAAATTGATTCCTAAATAAATCTCAAATAAAAACTGAATCTTATACTAATATGACAAATCACTGTACAGCCACAGCAGCGTAAGCTAAGCAAAAACATATACGGTAATAAAAGGCCATGGGGTAACTTGGGTGGGGTCCAATTGTTTGCATGCATAACAAGTGTCCATGGAACCCATAAAAGTGGGACCCATCTGGTCGACGACTTTCCTAAGCTAATATAGAGAGCTTCATTACCCTATAGACCAGATTAGATTAACGAAGTATGACCCATCAATGTGTGTGATATAGAGCCCCACTAATGACTTGTGTCAGCCCCAAATGCCTAATGTGGCATGTAAACCAACCTCCACCTCCCCACACCTCGCTGCCACTGCTATGTCTCGGGCCCACCAACCGATTTTGACTCATCCCCGCTGAAATGATGATCATCAACTCTCAGCCGCCTGATTTTTGTGTCACTTCCCTCCATCAACCCTTTACTTGCGTCACAAGTCACGAAATTCAATGGGTTCAAGTCAGTGCTATTTTTTCTAACAATCCAACGGTTGAGATCATCCCACAAGCCAGCACATACATAAATACGGAGTATCCTATAAACACATATACACACAATTATTTCACGAGAAATCTGTCGTTTTTGACTGGTACACTTTTAATGCCGTATGTTCTCCGGTGATTCTGGCGCTCTTTTCAAATTAAAATATACAATATAACAATATATAATGTAATATTACACACATATATATGTATATACACACACATATAACACACAAATAGTACTACTTATTTTGGTAATATGTAGGTGTATCTTAAAAATAGAAGAAACCTATTCTTCAGCTTTTTCCGATGACCAAACTGACAACTTCTCAATCTCCCATCTCTGTTTCTCTCTCTCTCTCTAAAACTTGTGTTTCTCTCTCTCTCTCTATAACTTCTGACTCTTTCATGCCCCAATATTGAATGAACCAATTTCTTCTCCAACATCTCTATGTGAAATCTCTGACCCGAGAGTTCTGTCACAAAATCTGCATGCGTACGACGTCGCACACTGCATCCCCTTTTCTCTCTCCATCTCAGAGGAGCTTTTTCAAACTTTGTGCTTTGACACAATAAGAAGAGATAGAATCGAAATAAAAAGAACTCTCTCTCTCTAAAATAATACTAATAATAATCAAACTTTATAAGATAGCATTAGTTAACTATTTTTATAAATAAACTACAATTATTATGTACGTTTAATAAATTAAATAAAAACAAACCTTGTCAGTTTTCACCGTATATATCCACACCACCCACGGGCTGTTCCTTTGACATTACTCTCTTTCAGTTAGACCACAAACCAAAGCAACAAAGAAGGCAAAGGTTATGCCATTAAAGAGAGGAGTTTAGAGAGAGAAAGAGAGGAAGTTTTAGAGAGAGAGAGATCATGCGTCTCTTCTGATGAGAGTACTAACAAAGAACATGAGCCTTCTACTTTTACACCTATCCTATTTCTCATCCATTTAGGAGAGAAGCTTGCCTTTTGCTCTCTCTCTCTCTCTCTCTCTGTTATTCATTTGATTTCTTGGGTTTTGCAGCAGTTAGAGATGGCTGTTCAGGCACAGTTGTATTCTGAAAATCTGGGTTGGCTTACGAGCTCTGTTTTGGGGATTGAAGATGGAGCTAATTTCAATTTTCAAGAGCACCCACAACACCAAGTGTTTCAATCCATTGGTTTTAATAGTTATAATAATCAAGGGGCTTCTTGTTCATCGAGTGTTGATCACAACTGTCCAACAATGGAGTTCTCTCTGTCTTTGGCTGCCGAGCTCGAGAAGCAGAGGCAAGAAATCGACTGGGTTCTTCGTTTGCAGGTCAGATTCGAACAAAATCCCAAATGGGTTTTCATAACATAGATTCATATTTCCACACGCATGTTTGATTTTGGATTTATTTAACGATTTCATTTCGGGTTTTTCTTGATTTGTGATGAATACGGTGAAACAGAGTGAGAGACTGAGGACTACTCTTCAGGAAGAAACAAGGCAACAAATTGGGGTTCTGCTGAAGCGATACGAAGCGAAAACGATGAGTTTGATGTGGGAGAAAGAGGAAGACTTGGTGAGTGCGAAGAAGAGGACAATGGAGCTCGAGGAGTGCTTGAGAAGGCAAGAGCTGGAGATGGAAGTGTGGCAGAGAATCGCGAAAGAGAACGAAGCGACGGTCACGAATCTCAATACAGCTCTCCAACAAGCGAGAGAGAGAGTCTCTCTCTCCTCCCCAGATGCGGAGTCGTTCTGTGATTCATCTAATTACAGAGTAGTAAACAATGAGGCAGAACAGAGCAAAACAATGGCGTGCAGGCTCTGCAATGCTCGAAGCTCGTGCATTGTGTTCTTGCCCTGTAGACACCTCTGTTCTTGCAAGCTTTGTGAAGCTTTTGTTGGGTTTTGTCCTGTTTGTCAATCTTTAAAGAAAGCTAGTGTGGAGGTTCTCTTGGCTTAGCCAAGAAGAAAAAGGTAAACAGAGACTAGAAAAGGGACAAAAAAAAAAAAAAAAAAAATCTTTGGTTTCTACGTAGTAATGTATTGAAAATGGTGGTTCTTTTTTGGTCTTTAGCTTCTCAGTCAATGGTGACCCAAATCAATGGATATGAATGATGATATATACTACTATACCAGTGAAATATCAGTGTAAAAGAAGAAATATGCTTTTTCCTTTTATGGGTTTATTGATTTTTATTCCTGATTAAGATTTTGTTACTTTATGAGATTGTTTTGATATTTTTGGGGGGTTTTCTGGGGAAATGTCAGGTCTATTAGCTGTAACAGTATGCTGGATAGGTGGCAGAAAAGATTTGAGAGCCAGAGTTTATGGACCCTGCAACGGCTACCTTATAAAGTTGTTGTCCCTCTCCAGCCTCCTTCCAAGAAATCCGTACAGTCCAGCTCACAGATATATACTGTGTGTGTATATATATATATATATATATATATATAATTGTGAATATAAAAATTGGTGTACAAAATGGAAATTCTGGAATACAATGCCACCTGTGATTTGTGACAAATTCATCATCTTGTCATCCATTAGGTTCTTTTGGTTACGTTGAGTGCTCTTATTATATTATATATATATATATATATATATATATATATATATATAGACACATGCTTATCGGATGGTTATACTCCACTCACCTCCGAAGTGACCATATGAGATTGGTTTTAATGCACAAATTGACCTGAATGTCAATGCATGTATCTGGGGTGGCGTTCTCTTCTTTTAAGACTAATGGTGAATGCGTATTGCTTTCACTAGGTCACAAGGTTTGATGTGGTCTATGGCTTTTTAAAAGAATAAGTTATGGCAATGAGTTTTTACTCCCATCTTTAAATAGATTGCCCAAAGTTTAAATTTCCTATGGCAAGAATTTTTACCTACTTCTTATGTTTGAATTATACCAAGAACAATTTTAAAATGTTCTTTTGAACAATATTGGTCTCTTCATATAAGGTGTTATTCTAACATTTCCTGAAAATGTTTATTTTAACCTTTCTAAAATTGGTTTGCCAATAATACTCTTCTATTTATTTTGGTACAAAATGAGTAATATATTATATTGCATTTTATACAATAGTTTGAATGGTAAAATTGTTATTTTATAAAATTTGCTTTAAAAGACTTTTGGAATGTCATTGAGGTGCCAAATTTCAGGCGATGTCAAAATTATATATAATTTGTCTAAATCTCAAGAGAGATCATTATAACTTTATTCTAACATATTTACTGAAAAAACATACCCTTATTACATACTCCGTATAAGGAGTAACAATTTGAATGGTTTTAAAATGGATTAACCTTTATGAGGAGAGAATATTGAATACTTTCCTTATGAAATCGGATAAGGATCTTCTTCAGGAAAGGAGAGGTCTTACACATCCACCAATCATTGATATAGCATCATTACTAGTGAAAGAATCCAATCCAATAGCTGGTGGGTGTGAAGGACCTCTGGGTGTGCAGGACCTCTCCTTTATATGATAAAGCAACTTACTCATTTTTTTTTTGGATAAGCGGCTTTACCCCAACTAATCTACGAAAAAGGGCACAAAGCGACCTCTCCACACAAATTAGGTAAAACTCAAACTAAGTCCGCACTCGTGACTCACAAGGAATTGATTGCACTCAAAATAATCATTTGTTATTTTCTTTTCCTTTTCTTCTCTACTTTGAAGATTATAAGAGAGAAATGTTCCACTAAAATGATGATATGTTGGGTGGACCTTGTTGAGTGGTGCACAGTGCACTGGAAGTCCCCTTAGAAATCCAATTCCGTGATAGTATGTGCAATTTGTGCATGCGCATACTCTGTTTGGTGGGAGAGAAATGCAGGGCCTATTTAGGGCAAAACATCCACCCCTCATGCAACCATAAAATCCATCAAAGATACCATCAGATTGAAATAGGTCGTGTCCAGTCAAGATCAGATATAAATATATATATATAGTGCTCTCATATATACATATATATATATATGTATAGTGCTCTCACAGCCTCTCCTTGTGAGCTGGTGGAAGCTACATAAGGATGTGTATGGATAGGTGATGCACTAGTGCTTCAAATCTAGGATGTATATGTTTGGTGCTTGAGTTGATCAGTTGATTTTCATTTGTTGCTCAGTTTTATTCCCTTTTCTTTGTTGTTGGGCTGCTGTTACTTAATGGACTCCCCTGTTTGTAGAGGGCTTTTGCTTCTCTTGTTGGCTAATGCTCACACTGTACATTCCTTTCGTATATGGGGTGAAGTGTAAAAGGCACCTATGTTTAAAATTTAGGAAAATAACACCCCTAATCTTTATTTTAAGTATATAAGTCCGTTAAGTTTTTAAAAATGAGCAAATAAGGACTTAACATATCACAAAATCACATATAAATAGTCATGTGCGTTAGACATGTCTATTTTAAATAACAAATTCTCTAAACTGTCATTTTGGTCTCCCAAAATGCTCTTTTATCGTTTTACATATAAATACACCATTTCGTTTTTGGTTAGGGTGCTTTGGTCATTTTTTATTTATTTTGTCTTTCACTTTTTTTTTTCCAAATTAATAAGGGCACTTTAATCTTTTACTCACTCCACCGACAACATGCTCTAGTTCGCATAAAAAATAAATAGGATATTAGGAAGTTTCAAGGGGGGGAAAATTTAAAATCTCACTACTTAATTCTTCGTATTTTAAAAATATTAACTTTTCAAATTATTAGGTTCCATCACCAATTTTCTGAAACTAATTACAAACGTGAAACGTATACAAAAACACTTTTTATATTTTTTCATGGTCTAAAATGCCCTCACTACATTATACTCCCCAGTCTATTTCTCTCTCTAACCTGCATACCAAAGCAGTTAGGAATTGAACCATGAAGCAAGAATGTAGAAGAATTTTAAAAAAACACACACGCACCCCAAAGATTATAAGAACACAAAATAGATCACACTGTAATAAGAATTAAAATTGAATATCAATGGATCAATTTAAATTCAGACCATAGAGGAACCAAAATCATATTATTTACAAAATAAAAAAATTTTACAAATTCTCTACTATTTACCAATACTCAAGCGAATGAAGAAAATCAAATTGATAAGGAACAAAACCCAGTATACAGGAATCAAATTGATGGTGATGGGGCCTGATTCCTAATAATAGAAGGCTGTAATTGATGGCCGGTGATGGGCCTTCCCCTCTAATGCGGCAATATACCAATCGGTTCGGTATTGTTGTCGGCGTCGGCGTCGTAGTCTGTCCTCCGGTAGTGACGCGGTGACGGATGGCCGGGGCGACACCGAACATTGTGAAGGCAATGGAGGTTAAGCAGTCGGCGGCCATGTGGGGCTTTGAGGAGGAGGAGGAGGACCTACTAGATGACCTGCTTGGATGATTTGGACGAGCCCAAATATGTGTTTGGCTTTGTATAAAACGCCACCGTTTACAAATATGTCCTCTAATGTAATTTCAACACCTATGTATTTTTTTATTATTTATGTTATTAGAAGAATGGAGGATATTTTAGTCTTTTCACATATCCAGTATTATTTATCTAGCAAAAAGTCTTTATACCTCTCCTAGTGTTTTGGCGTATTCCAATTACCCTCCTCGGTTTGTAACAAACACCTTCTATTGACATTGGCAGTCAGCAATGAATAACCCTTTCAGTGGTCAAATTTAAAGATTTATCCGACGAAAATACCTTTATATCTAACTTATTATAAAAAAAAAAAAAAAAAACCTTTGTATCTTTTTAAGTTAGAATTATAATATTTACTAATAAGGACATAAAGATAAATTTAAATTAACAAACTTTTACACAATCGTTGGGTAATTATAATATCATAATATGTCAAAATATAGAGGAAGTAATTGTAAAAGACCCGAACTAGATTGAAAGTAAATGTAAAATACCCTTTTTATTTTTGCAAATAACACGCACTCACCTTGTTCTTATGAACCTGAAACTGCAATTTTCGTTATAGTTATCATTTATTATAATCTTTTGAATTATAAAAAATAAGGACAAAATTACATCTCAAAAGTAAGTGTAATAGTTTTTTTAGATCATTGTGGGAGTGTAATAGTGCTTTTGGAGGATAATTATGTTGTTTTTTTTAAAATTTTTATAAAGTAACGATTTTTACAGTATTGTTGAAGTATTGGCTGATCATTTTAAATCAAATTCCCTTTTAAGTGAATGGACCAATCTAGTTCCAAACATTACCGAATTATCGAACTAAAATTAACTTTTAGAAAGATCTTAGCAATCAGATTGCACTTCTGTATTTTTCATGTTCATTTCTTATATATGTCTTCCAAATCTCATATTCAAACTGAGTAAGACCGATGTAACTTTTAGTTTTTGGGAAGCTTTTCAGCTTTTAGCACAAGTTTTGCTATTCTTGGCCAATGTCTACTTCACGGGAAGGTATTGAGTACACCTAACACACATATACTAGGCTTATTCGAGTCGCATGTGCATAACATGCGCTTGCACATGCACAACATTTATGACTCGAATGAACTGATGCACCGAATGCACCCAATATCTATTCTCACTTCACTGACTACTCAATAACTCTTGTGGGCCCTACCAATTATGTTGGGCTCACAAAGGTAATACATGAACATACAAGTTCTGTATTTTATTTATTTATTTATTGATTTTAGTGGGTTTATATTGGATTCATCTTTCTTGCTCCCTTTCATTGTTCTTGAAAGAATCAGAAATGGACTTTGTAAAAATATGTTCAGTTTGTTGAGGAGCGTTACAAAATACAAATTAATGAAAGCAGACCGTGACATTACTATTTTACCGAGGACGGACCCAAACCCAAAATGTACCAACTTTTCAATTTCAATTTTTTTTTTTTTTTTTTGGTGGTAAAATTAAGAATTTTAATTAAAACAAGCAATGGTGTATTTACTTACATGACCTTCCGTAGCTCTCCCACTCCCAGTGACTTCTTACTCCTTTCTTTACTGGTACGTTGAGAAATTCCTTCACAGGTTTAGGCATTTCATACAAAATCCGAAGATACCACAATCAAGAAAGTCGTAAGATAGACTCTTGGAGGAGTGGTGCAACGATTCGGTCCAAGCCGACCAATAACTTACCAAGAACAGTGAATTCTACTAACAAATATGTGATTCCTGGGCTCGGCCCAAATGGGTCTGAGCACAAGCCAGGGCAGCACTATCAAAAGATAAGCCAGCCCAATTCATGCTGCACAAAGCCCCATTCACAAGAAAGGAGAGTGACTGGGCCAATGAAGGTTTTAATGATCCATTGACTTACACCTCTTTAAGTTTTGTCAAATACCACTCAAATATCTTTTGAAATTAACTATCATTCAAATCCCAATTTTCTTTTCCATTACTTTTTCCATTAGAAAGGTGCAAAACGACAATTTTATCTCTATTTTTTATAA